TCTTTCTGATCTCAGATAAATTATTGTCTTGTACCAATCTACATGTATTACACTGTAAGCCCCATACACATCAAAGCCTAAACTGGATAGAACTTTTTACTGTAATTTTATCAGTTGGAAAATCAGTGCAATTACACATAACTAACAAAATTATGTTCATTTGAATTCTATGTAAAAAAAACCCACCTTCTAGTATTCGGTTACTGGTTTTCATTTGTACAAACCAACTTTTTAATATGGGCGCCAACTGGCGATCAAGTATAAATTTTTGGTCGCCAGAGGGCATATTGTGGTCGCCAAATATTTCCCCTCCCTTTTTTTCAAGTAAAAGTTTCAACACGAATAAAAAATGCATGGTATGGACGTTTTTATGGTCAAAAATTGCACTACTTCCGCTCCCGATACCAGAAAGCAACCGTACGTGTACGACTGAAGTCTTATTTTTTTCCAGAAATTGCTTTTTGAGAACGTAGGAACAGAAAGCTGTCTGCCCATGACTACACTGATAATATCAAAACTCTATTTTCTTCCGATAAGGGAAAGTTCATTTAATATGACAAGGGGGATGAAGATATTGAGGGGGGGCTCCAAAAATTTTTAGACACCCGAAGGGGGGGCTCCGAAAATTTGTATACTTCAAAACCAACACATGACATCATCATACAGATCGGATGGTTTTCAACTCAACAATTTAATGACCTGTGCAACTCAGCTATATCACGTGGTTTACAGATATAACAAAATAGTCTCAGTAATTATTACACTCTTGTTCATCCCAAAAATGCTTTAGAAAATTGTATCACAACTGTATCTCAAGTTTGTCATAGTATAAACCATTGAAGACAATAACGGTAAATATATTTAATACAGTCTAGCGATCTTTTTTCAGGGGAGCAAAGGAATTGAAGGAGGAGGGGGGGAGGGGGGGGGGGGCTCTGGAATTTTTTCGACTACCAAGGGGGGGGCTCCTAAAAAATTGAACCGCTAGCGGGGGGGGCTGCTAAAATTTCAAGCTTCGAGTTTCAATATCTTCATCCCCCCCCCCTTGTCATATTAAATGAACTTTCCCTAATGACCACGAAACACGAAACACGAAACATAAACACGAGTCAAGCCGCCATGTCTCTCGTACCAGGCCACATTAATTTGTGCCACATTACTCGTACCAATCCACAAAGTACATAACGTACTTACCGTATTTCAGCTGAAAACGACATGGCAGCTTGGAAACATTCAACTCGTATTGATTGTAGCTGTTGTTGAGGTATTAGTACAGGAAGATTCGTTTCACTTTTAATTCCAAAATATCAGCAGGACAAAAAGTAAAACACCTGTTGGCAAATAGCTTCGAGGCTTCAATTCTTAACCAGTTTCTCCGAACGTTAAAGTCCACGATAACAACCAGCTTTACAAGTCGCTAGCTGGCGACCAGCTATGAAATTCTGGTCGCCAGGACTAAAGTTTTAGTCGCATTGGCGACCAGGAAGGCGCAATTTTGGACCCTGCAAACCTAATAATTAAACATGGTTAGTTAGAATGTGTGAATGGAGCATAAGACAAGCGGCTGCATGGTACCACTTCATTAGAAAATTGGTAGCAGAACATAGAATACTGTTGTTCTCTTCACAAGTTATTGATCAGATTAAGCTATTACATTGGCATATAGCCTTAACTTGTTAGCCCTGTAAGCTTCTTGATTCTGTACGATGTAAATAAGGGTTTTTTGTGTACAAAATATACATAACCGTCACATTTTTTGAAAAGTGATGGGGATGCTTGTTGGAAAATTCAAATATGTGGGATATTTCTGTGTGGCCCTGGGGCATTGTTTGCACTTTGTACTAAGTGATACCTGAATGGGCAAATAAAGTGACATTCAAAACACCCCACATGTTAAGTGAGACTACAATCTACAATTTACACCCGAAAGCGAGACGATGAGCATCCCTGTCACTTTGAATCTAATCCCCCCTGGGCAATTAGATTAACTCAAATATATATTTAATAATTTTAATATAATATTGTAACACTTACTTTAAAAAAGGTAATTGGAATTGTACATAATAATTACAAGTTAGTGAACATTGTAACATTGTATAAGTACTGTTATGGTGTAAAATGTACATCACTAACATATTCTTGTTGATAAAGAGTACCACTATAATATCAAATAATGTTTTCCTTTTGTAACATACTACTGTAACATTTAAGTGAAGATAATATTTTAAAGTATTACAAGTGATGTTGTTTATAATGTAATATGTATTTTTATCTGTAAGATAATCTTACTATACTTTTTTATATTTTTTATTATTGTCGTGAAACTGGGACTGTCAATAATAATGCAAAAATTTTTATATTTAATTCCTTCACTATTTGACATGTGTATTGTCATGAAACAAAAGGTTAATGTACATCAAAAAAATTAAAGGAGATGGATAGAATTCATGTTGTTTAAACTATTTGTTTAAAAATAATTTACTAACCTCATGATGAAAAAATGAAAAGACAAAAGACACAATGTACCACCTAACCCCTCCCCCTTCCCTCTACACATACACACGGTACATGTTTGACATTTCTGCTTGGCTGCTGATTTCCAACTTAATTTTCAAATAGAAGTCAACATTTCAATGGAGCCTTTCCATCCGTCCAGTCAGGTAAATGGATATTGCTTTGATTTGCTGCTATTAACCCTCGGGGGTTGGGGAGTGGGACTAAAAAATTTTTATATGGGAAGGCTCTGCATAAGGTCCAACCCTTTGCCCTTTTTGTATACCATTCTTGACAGAAAAGGTACATGTACCCCATTCAGTTTGTTCGTCCCTCCTAGCGAAATCCCTACCCTTTCATATTGAGTGTAACTGAAGCCTGAGAAAGGTACCCCTTTTGGGCGGAGCCTCCCAACAAAGCCGTCATAGGGAATACCCCCCCAATTGTTTCTAGGCTTTTGTACATTATGCTTTTGTCTCCCCACTTAAATGCTCCATTCTTCCCACTAAAATGTCCCTTCGTAGTCTCCTCTATTAAATCTTCGGTCCAGAAAACCTCACCACGAATGGCACAGACTACTGGCTCCTGACAGATTTTGTAAGAAAGATGAAAACCTCTGTCGTTTCTTTCTCTGACAATGTTTCGCCTTGGCATTCTCTTTGAAAACACTCCTCCACTTGCAAAGTTTTCAAAATGGTCGCCCAAGGAAGTCAAAGACTCGAACCAGTCCACTTCAACTGCAAGGCCCGCAAAGCATTGTAGGCCCAAAAATAAATTTGCGATACAGCGAAAAATAATTATCAGCATGATGAAAAAATAATTCTCAATACCTGTATTAAAAATAATTCGCGGTACCACCAAAAAAATTATTTGTGGTACGCATGAAAAATTTATTCATACAACAACATAAAAAAAGTAAACAACCTTAATAAAAAATAATTAATGCAGTTAAAAAAAAATAACAACACACTAAAAAAAATCCTGTGCAGTGATGACAAAAATACACAACGGGTCCATAATAAATGCT